CCCTACAATTCCCACGTTCCTTCTACTTTGCCTGAATCTCCTGTTGATTCCCTGCAATTTACCTTTCATACTTGGAATAGCTCTCAAATTAAAATGCCCAGATTCAGGCAAGGAGAACAACAAGCAGTTGATTCCTTTTGCCATTACCTTGCAGACCTTAATTGAAGGTTCATCGAAAGTGGGACAAATTGGCCTATACTTCGAAGTATCCTTGTGTTTTGGAAGCGCGTACGCCTTTCCCACACTGCCTTTCACGTTCCACTTCCCATGAGCTGATAGACCTGCCTTCTCGAAATCCTTCCGGGCTTCCATCAATATCTATGTCTCTTCCTTATCACAAATTCTATAGCCATTACTCAAGAGGAAAGTCTCCTCCATTCCCTTACCGTACGTGCGCGGGCACATGACAAGCGTGTTCCCCGGGTTTCGGTCAAGTGGTGCCATTACCAGGCCTTTTAGCTTCTCCTTAACTTCAATAACCTCCTTCATTCCGTTTTCAGAGTATTGTTCCTCAATGTTTGTGAAACACCCTTCGACCTCTTCCTTGGTAACAACCCAACTCTCCTTGTCAATTTTCATGCTGCTACCCCACGTTCGGAAAGCCTCGGTCATCTCTTTTCCCAACAACACGTCTCTTCGTGCATTCTCGTGCCTAGGTACATTCTTTGCATTCTTAGCAATCGAAGGCATCCAGTCGAGCTCACTAATCCGAAAATGAACGTGCCCATCTTTCTTCGGATAGGCCATACCAGCGCAAGAACAGTTGGACGCGCATGTCGATGCAAATTGCCGATGGTTGTGGAGAATGTCGCCGACACTTGGGCACTTCTTCCAAACAACCCGCGCTCTACGTTTTACCATCTCCTTGAGTGAGGTATCCATCTGCAGACTGCCCACCTTCTTCCGTACCACTCTCATTACCTCGCTCTTTTTTATCCTCTCATCATATTGAGTCTTGACTATGATCCTCGCTCTAACGCTCACACCATACTCCTCTCTAACGGCTCTCGAAATCATACATCTCGCCTTCGCTCTACTCCTCTTCTCGGTGAAAGTCTTGACCACACTATAGAAATGGACTAATTCGGTTAAACTCTTCTTCCTCAGATCCTTCTGCTTCCGCGGATTTTTGAAACAACCTACAATTTTTTGTTTTACAGCGAGAAATGCAGGGGACGCTTCGATCACTCTCTATACCAGGAGGGTACCAGACACCTCGAAGAGCCTCTTACAGCGCTTCAGGGGTCTAGACCCCTTTCCAAACCTCACCCGAGTCTCACCAAATAGTCTCCTCACGACACGCCAACCGTCAGTCCAAATTTTTCCTCCACTACAGTGAATCTTGAATTCACCTTTACGTCTTCTAAAGTTACGAAGTAGATCAACCAGCTTAACTGTAGACTCCCCACCCTTCGCACGAAATTCCAAAATTTTCCCGGTTCTTCCTTCACACCTCGCCTTCGTGCATACCTTCTTCTTGCTCCGTCTTCCTCTCTCCCTCCTTCCTAATCTACGTCTAGCCTTCTTCGGTGCCTTCCGGGACTTAACTGAGCGAATATTCAGAGAAGGAGACCATCGTCTAATGAGCGTACTCTCGACTGCCTCCAGCTCCGAACGGCTTGTGCTTGTAAAAAGAGGAATAGCTGTATACTTGTGCGTTCCGACTTTACCGAGCCAGTTATACAAAGTACGCCGACACGCTTGCTTCCTTTGTCCTTGGCTGCAATGTTCCCGCCAACGTGCCCAAAGGTCGCGTTCTGTCATTCCAATGTAGACTTGCTTAAACCACGGAGATATCAGCAAGTAGACACAACTGCTATGATTCGATAAATCAAAACGACCCTTCTCGAGCTCATCCTTCCAATAGTTCACGAAATTTTCTCCCCATTTTACCTGTCCACTCAAAATTAGGCCTATAGTTGCAGCTCGTAAAGTTCCTTCATCGATCTTCCTACCTCCAGAATAACAAGCTCTACGAGCACTTACTTTCGTCGCTATGCCCCGAAAGTCGTCGCAACGACCGATCCTCACTCCGAGTCGTCCTCAAAAGAGGAAGAAGAAGAATTCGAAACATCCGACTTCTTCTCACTTTTGATGACTACGCCTTTTGCTTGCCTCGTCGTTACGCGTGGTGTCGGCGAGAAAGGAATGACCGACGGGTCATATGCAACAGCATATCTTCTGGTGATAAGTCTCTTGATGGCCAGCTCACGGTTGCCATAAGCCACCTTCTCTCTTCTGCATGCTTCCTTCATTTCTTCGATTATTAGTGCGCCGTAAAAGTCTCTGCACTCTTGCTCGAATCTTTCTTTTCCTCCTAGGCCACATAACGCCATGATGTACTTCAAGGAGAGGTCAATCCTCGAAGGGGTGCTGGTTCCGCCTGTCTCGGTAGTCTTGTCTCCCTTCAATTGCTCGATCCGTAGCTTGGAGTCTTCAGAGAGTCCAGTATGCGTTCGCTTTTCTGGTGTAACCATCGGGGGGCTATTCCCAATGGAAATTTCTAGACCACGTTTCTGTTTCTCAGCTAACTCAATTTTCTCCGCCATCTTTCTCAGTTGCTTCAACTCTTCGTCTTCCGTTTCCTCGGCGGTCGTCTGTTTGGCAACGAATCGCCTCAATCTCTCTTTTTGTTCTTTGGCAGTTTCCCCACGACTATTCACCACGGTCTTCTTCCCTCGGTTCATCGGTTTCTCGAAGTAATCATCTTGATCCTTCTTCAACTCGCTTCTAATAATTCGTAGTAGTCTAGCATCCCGTTCCTGCTTCAGTCGCAGTCTCTCTTCCTGTCTCGCCAATCTTCTTTGCTCACGTGCCAGGCGTACCTCGTTTTCTTTAGGTCTTCTCTCCTCCTCGGCCTCTCTCTTTAGTCGATTCCTTCTCTCTTCAGCCATATTGAGCAGGTATTCCCGCATCAGCTCGTTGGTGTTGTCGGTCACTTCGATCCGCTTGTTGTCGCTGTTAATGGAACGACTTCTCCTTGGAATCGCCGCACCCGTACTCGCTTGGACTTGCCGACCAGTACTTTCTTATTTTGGATGTGCTGACGGAACGAAGGTGCGCCCAAGCGCCTTCGCCTTCCAGTAATCGGCACGGGCGCGAATGAAATGACCTCCTTCACCACATTTGTAACACTTCCTTCCGTCCGGTGGCAATCCATTACCACCGTCCCGGTTTGAGTCTGCTCCATCGCTCATCCTTCCACTTCTGCAAGGCCGTATCACACCGAAATCTATCTCTCCAAGAGATCGGCGTAAAACACCTTCAGACACAGGTAAACTTCCCTCCCGTATGATGCAAGCCGCCACCGTTTTCTAGGTATAATTGCCTAGCAGGTTACAACCCTAGTTCATGAAAAATCAGATCAATTGTTCTTGCAAAGCACGCAGTCAACAGCAATCACACGAAACAAGTTGTGTAGTCAACTCAAAGTATTCAAAAGAAACCATGTCATGTTAACCAATGGCATGTTAACCAATGGAAGTTAACAATGACATGTTAACCAATGGAAGTTAACGATGAACTCGTGAAGCTCAATGAAAACAATGAGATGCTAAGGCGACTCTTCCCCGCCGACCACACTCCAGTCGTCATGGACGACTCCCACCTCCTCGCCCTAGTCACACAAGGCGACTCGTCCCCACAGACCACACTCCGGTCGTCATAGACGACCCCACTTCCTTGTTGTCACAGTCGCACTAACGCCTCATCGGCGAAAAAGACAGTAGCCATACTATCGAAGTCTTTTATCGTGGGCGCATACAAACGCTACTTCCACCGTCGGAAAACCACACCACACTTTGGCCCGGAACGGTTCGAGCCCTATAGGTCCTAACATGTTCTACCGTAGTACAAAGCAAAACCACACTAGGCCCGTCACGGTTCGAGCCCAAGAAAGACAAAACTTCAAAAAGGCACAGTCAAGCACACTGCGGCAGTTCGAAACCGAGTACCTACACTTAGTTCTATAAGGGCAGGCCCTGGTCCTTACATGGTCGAAATGGTGTTAAGCAGGCGTAGTTTTTTTTATTTTTATTTTTTTAGGCGTAAAATATTTCAATGTGATGAGGAATGCAATTAGTGGACAGAAACAACCATTTACTTAAAATGGAGGTTTTATATTTTTTTAACGAAATTGAACCCTACTTACTACTTTGGCCTTAAAACTTTCGCCAAATTTTCTCCTGAGGGTCTGGCGTTTTCACCCCTTGGATGTATCTCGACGAGCTGTAAGTGCAGATACATCCGAGGGTTGGACCCACAAGAGAGAATTCCTTGAAATTTTTAGGACCTCGGGGCCATGGTCCCATTTGCAATTAGCGTCGGATTGAATGCCTGAATTTGGATGTGTTTGAGGACAGGAGCACGAAATCGAGATCGAACTGCTTTTCTATATCTCTGCATAAAACATGGCCAATTTCAGGATTTCTATCCTATCCCCTTTGCTAGTGGGACCACGGCCCGGGAGAGAATTCGGTGAAAATTTTCAGGGCCAAATAAGTAGTAGGGTTCAATTTCGTTATGAAGTAATATAAACATCTAACGTCTCCATTTTAACGAAATCGCTGTTGGGCAGCCAGGGTCACAGGAGGTCTAGAAAGAAAAAAAAAAAAAAAAAAAAAAAAAAAAAAAAAAAAAAAAAAAAAAAAAAAAAAAAAAAAAACGAAATGGCTGTTACAAATTGAGTGCCTGGGGAGTAGTGGAAAGAGGCCCTCCCATACGGGGGGCGCCGGTTCGTGGTGCTAATTTTGCGCATGGTCCCACCTCCACCGGCTTCGGCCGGTGTGGCCACCCTCACGTCAGCTATCGAAGTTGACGATAGGGTTTTGCATGGAGAACGAGGAGACAACTTTGACTGTCACCAAGCTCCATGCAGGCTAGCCTACCACCCAACCATAGCCAACTGCTAAGGAAGAATTGAAAAACTCCATAAAGACTTTGACGAAGAAACTGTAGTAGCCACGAGGCGCTACCAAGCCACGATAAGTCACAAAGATCATTGGAGTCAACGAAGAGGAGAAGGAGAGATAACTCATATAGAGAGTACGAAGGGACGTGCCTACCAAGATGGAAGAGGAAGACACTGCTGCTGCACCAGGAGGGGAACCAAGACCACATGGCGGAGACGTGGGTATGGTGGGAGCGGAAGAGGTTATTCAGCAAGGAGCAACAATGCCACGAGGCCAAGGAGAGGAGGATGGAAAGGAACAGAATCATTCCCCACCTCCTGCCCATACCAATTACTGGTCGGATGAGGATAGAGTCAGAGACATGCTGGCGAGGTGCTACGACGTGGGGATGGTACCGTCCGGATGGGACATCGGAGAGTTGAGAAAAGACGGAAATAAGGCTCACTTTGCCCTTAACCCGTCTTTGGACGAAATTAAGGTAAAGTGGCTGAAGGAGCGGATCGTGACAGTCATCTTTCAAGAAGGCTCGAAGAACCTATCGAAGAAGTTAAAAGAAGAGGTAATTAGAGCCTTTGAAGACATTTGGCTGGGGGAAAACAGATTTGACGAAGCAATCACGAGAGGTCGCGTCTACATCGAATCGAGTAACGCGCTGTCGTACGTGGCCAAGGACAAAGCGGTTACGGATTGGATGTTAGAAGAGCAAGAGATGAGAGTAGCGCTCAGAGGAAGATCGTATTCGATAATTTTTAAGCCATGGATGACAAAGACAAAAAATCAGGATGCTAGGCGCGAAGATGACAGACAATACTGTTGGGTAAGAGCGATTGATGTCCCTCTTGATGCTTACTGTTATTTGGAGGCGGCAGCAGAGTGCGCCATAGGACCAGTCCGGAAGGTATATCCGCCGAAAGCTGATGCACACACTCCAAGGTTAATCAACGTTCGACTGGATATAGCTATCGAAGCCTTGCCAAGATTAAAGGAGACTTTCGAATTTACGACTTTCCAGGTAAAAGTCATCGAAGTGCAGCTCACGAATGCTAAAACACCATGGTGCAGCAAGTGTTGAAGATTCTTTCATCTAGCAGACCAATGCTCGAGGCGTCAATGCAGAAGATCGCCAAGTCCCACATCAAGAGGAAGTCAAGCTTCGTCCTCAAGTATGTCGCGTCATCCTCGTTCACATCACTCTGGCGGCTCATCAAGGGCAAAGTCTTTGAAACCATCGAAGTCGTCAGGTACTTCACCGCGCAAGAGCATATCGTCCAAAGCCTCGTCATCGGCCAGAAGATCTAAAGAGCCGGTCTATTTTGGAATTTTAGCCGGGGCGGGAGGTCCCTCAGGGTCACCACAGCCAGCGGTTATACGGGACAATCCTATGTTTTCACCAGGCCCAAGTGGGGGTGGGGGAAACAGGACATCTTTGGACCGTCGGGGAAGGCCCCTAACTTAGGGAGCTCTCATGGGAGAGGCAAGGAGGGCGGGAGGGAACTGCCCCGGGAAGGAGATGGAGAGAGGGCCAAGGAAAGAAAGTAACGCATCCAGAGAAGGCACGCTGGGAGTCAAGGAACAGAAAGGTGAAACACACTCAAGAATAGTTGTAACACCGACGAAACTGCGACGCAGGCTTAGCGAGGATATGAGTGACCTGCGTTTTCAAGAGGAGGTGGATGGAGAGTCCTCGTCCAACTCAGTAACCGTGGCTCAGGAGACGGGAAGAGCAGGGTCGGAAGCCTCGACTTCGAATCCAATCACGATGAAGAGAAGACGACAAGTGGCGACATCCAAATCAAAGGATGTTGGATGGAAGAAATACCTCCTACCACTCCTCTTCACAGCGGCACAAGAAGGCATCTTCGGACTAGCATGGGTAGTGTCTCCGACAGAAACAATTCTGCCTACCCAACAAATCCTGGGACCTCCGGTGCCTACGGAGATGATCACAATCACACGTCGTCTCTACGGCACAGTGATTGCGGTAAGAACGATTTCGGACATTCCGGTCCCTCGATTCTTTGTGGAGCAGTTAGGAATGAAGATTAAGTTATACACACCCCTCCTTGACGTCCGCTTGTCACAGAAAAACCTCAGTAGATTGATGAGCCACGGTCTAAGTCTTTTCCCGTTAGAATGGCTTGCGAAGATTGATTGTCCAGACTTATCTCGAATCACCATATTGGGAGTTTTAGATGCATCATGGAGCATCAGCGCAGCAGAGAGCATCCGCAGACCCGACCCCATTTCCTTCTGCCAGCATCCAATCACGATCTGGCACACTGCCACATGACGATCAGCACTAAAATAGCCACGTGGAATTTGCGGGGATTGGGGATACAAATGGTAGGAATAAGAGATAGAGGGTCAAATCGTGGATCCACGAAAATCGTATCCAGATCTTATGTATTCACGAAACCAAATTAGATCAGATTAAGATAATGGATGTCGGAACGTTTTGGGACGGTCCCCAGATATGGGCCCGGTCGGAGGAAACGAGGGGAGGAGTGGCAATATTAGTACATAGGAATCTTGCTGCAACGATTGTGGATTACGACTTCGACCAGGGTGGGAGATGGGCTTGGATAAAATTCGAATCAGCTAACGAAGAATGGGCAGTAGTTACTGTTTACGTACCTGCAGAAAAATCAGAGAGAGTCCTCTTCCTCGAAAACCTGAAGAATGTCTTACCTAATGTCGACAATCTTATCCTAATAGGAGATTGGAATGTATCGTTGGATGATGCGAACCCCCTTCTGGCAACTAAAGTGGGTAAAGATGTGGATAGGTTATTGGACGTGGTGATTGAGCTGGACATAGTGGATGTCTTTCGTGCAATGAACTCAGACGACTCAGGATATACCTGGTACTCCAATCAGTCCTCTTCATGCAGAAGAGTTGCAGCAAGAAAATTAGACTATTTTTTGACTAGTCAGAAGATAGGAAGTAATGTCCTAAACGTCACGGTACTTTCGGGATCCCTGTCGGATCACAATCCGGTTGTACTCCACTTAGTAGGGGGAGAGGGGCCCGAGAGAGGAAAGGGACTGTTCAGGCTCAATGAGGCCACAATAAGGGAACCAGGAGTAAGGGCATGGGTGTCCAATCAGTTCGACAATTGGGCACAAAGGAAACAGAAATTTACCTCAGAAGAGGACTGGTGGGACGCTGTGATCCGTTTCATTTCGGGCATGCTGAGTGTGTTTTCAAAAATCCTGGTTTTACAATCGAATAAGGAGGAAGCTGCAGCAAAGAAGGAGGTTGAGGATGCAGGAAGAATGATTGCCCTATTCTCGCCTCGTTTGGTAGGTGCAAAATGGTGGGGACTAGAGAGGAGTCTCAGGATGAGAAAGTGGGACGAGATACAGGAAGCCAAGTCGGACAGATGGAGAGGGATTTTGACGGTGAAGGGAATTGAGTCTGGAGATCGTATGACGGAAACATTATTTTAGAGACTCCAGCCAAGATTCTACCAGAAGGAAATGAAGGCCCTGACCCACCCATTCAACCAACATGCCCCACAAGCAAGAACATTGAAGGAGATGTGTTCCTATGCTGAGATGTACTATTGTGATATTCTTACCTCGCGTAGACCGGCCACAGAAACGGCTACAGGGCAGGAACATCTGACAGACATGTGGGAACTACTGGATGTCCGCCTTTCGGAACATGGACGTTTAAATTTGGACCGCCCGATAGAGGATACTGAGTTATATCAGGCAATGAAATAAATGGTCAGGGAAAAGCGCCGAGTTCGGATGGATTAACAGTAGAGTTCTATGATGAATTATGGTCTAAGATTAGTGGAGCACTTAGGGAAATGTATAACAAGGCCCTATCGGGCTCAGACCTCATCACTAGCATGAGACATGGGGTTACTACTCTACTGTTTAAGAAAGGAAACATGCACGAGAGTCCGAAACTGGAGACCGATCTCCTAACTGAACGTATCCTACAAATTGTTAGCAAAGACCTTAGCAAGGAGACTAGCGAAATATCTACCAAATCTAGTGGCGAAGGATCATGCAACATTTGTACAAGGTCGATCAATCTTCGACAACATAGCAACTGCTATCCAGACGCTAGAGATCGTCGAGAAAGAGGACCATCCGATATCAATCCTACTGCTAGACTTGGAAAAAACTTACGATCGGGTGAACTGGGGTTTTGTCCTCACGACACTACGTAGGATGGGTTTTGGGGAATGTTTCTGCAGATGGGTGACGGTCCTTTATATGCATTCGACTGTTGCGGTCATGGTCAATGGTTTCCTCTCCGAATTTTTCTCCCTCTCTCGGTCGCTGCGTCAGGGTTGTCCACTGGCCCCCTTGATTTTCGTACTGCAATTAGAAGTTATTTTATGTAATATAAGACACAGGCCGGAGATATGCGGACTAGCGCTGCACGGATCAGACTGCAAAGTCAAGGCACTCGCGGATGATTTGCTTGCTGTTTGTGAGAACTCGACCTCGGCATTGGAGGCGTTGAAGCTATTGCTTGACGAATACTGTCAGTTTTTCGAAGCTGCAGTGAACTGGAAAAAGTATGTCTATTTCCTCCCCCATTCTCGAACATTGGAAGTGGATTGGGGAATGAAACAGGTGCTGAAAGGCGAAGCAGAGCGATTCTTGGGGGTTATGGTAGCTCTAGAAGGTTGTCAAGCCACTCAGGAGGAGATCCTCCAGAACAGGATGGTAACCAGGTTGAAATCCTGGGGATCCGCCTCTCATTTATCGGTGTTTGAAACTCCGCCCTGTTTTCCTTGCTGTGGTTCATTGGCTCTGTTAGGCTGATGAGCAAATCCTTGGCAGCACTAATTAGAAGATTAACGACAAGGTTTATTTGGAAACCAAAGGCAGGAGTGGAGGATGGGTTCGTATCCAAAGTTGCCAAGGAGCTGATAGTGCGGTCGAGAGAAGAAGGGGGACTGGGTGTCTGTGATCCAGCTAGAAGGAACTGTTTTCTGTTGCCAAATTGGGTAATCAGAGTGGCCAACAGCGATGGCACAGACCATTGGGTCCGATTGGCGGAGCATATCCTCTTCACGGAGTGGGACCTGTCACTCCCATAGGATATCTGGTTATGTCTACAGTTAGACTCCTTTCTCAACCGTAGGATCCAATCCCCCTTCTGGGCCACAATATTGCGCACGCATGGAAGAAGGTCAAACCTAACGTCTGGGTAGAACCTGTGACCAAAGCAGAGGTACAGGTTCAACCCTTGTTCGATAATCCCAGGATAGTGAATGAATCAGGTAATATGTTCAAAGCGGATAAGGAATTTGGTTCCTTTGGGGATAATTGGACCCGAAGGGGGAGTGCTTCGTATAGGGGATCTGTGGGAGGACCTACTGGGGCAATGGATGCTGTTGGAAGCACTGCGGGGCAAACTGACCAGTCTGCACAAGGTTGAAGTGAAAGCTCGGGCATAAATCAAGGCTATTCCAGAAAACTGGAAGTTGATTCTAGAGCCAGATGGTCGGGACCCACCTGGTACTTGGTACATGCTGAGGGAAAAAGGAGTTTCCTTGTCATGCTGGAAGCTACAAGAATACTCCCTACAAGGCCCCAGAAGGTTCCAAGAATGGAAAAGGCAACAATATACACCGTAGCTGGAAATGGTGGAGGAAAATAAGCAACCACCACTTGGAGCACCACTGGCCCAAATCAGAGTAGAGGAACGGCATATAGGGGAGGAGAAACACACCGCAATCCTCAGACTAGCACAACCTGTGACAGTCAGAAAATTGGACCCAAGTGCCTGGGGATGGATAGGACAGGCCAAGGGAGGAGGCACCCTGTCATTGGACAAACTGCAGGAGATATCACATGTGCTCACCCCAGCGAGGATACCAGTAGCAGTTGCAGTGGACCGTTGGGAGAGAGTCCTGCCACATTCAGGGGAGAAGGTAGCCCGGAGAATGCCCAGATTATGGCAGAAGCTGAAGATACTCCCATCTCAAAAGCATGCAGGCATATTGTGGTTGCTGTCCCTTCTGGTCACACCATCGGCGGTATGGTTGGCGGCAAAAGGTTTGCAGATCTGCTTAACATGTTCAAGGTGTACCTGGCCATTTGAATCTTCGTCTCACTTGTGGTGGGATTGCCCAGCATCGCAAAGAATTTGGAAGTGGTGGGCAACGCATTGGAAAGCCTTCGCAGAATGGGATTGGAACTGGGACAAGGAGTGGGCCTTGTTGGGTCTTATTCTAGAAACACAAGAGTTGACAGAAGGATGCTGCTATGTTGCCCAAGCTTGCAGAGCGGTTATCTGCTCAGTCATCTGGGAAATCGGAAACAGGGCAGTCTTTGAAGGAAAAGGAACAACAGATTATGAGACGAAGACCAAAATGTGCAGCCGGGTCAAACAATACATAAAAGCGGATTGAAATAAGAAATGTAAGAAAGCAGGGAGTAACATGAGGGGTGCTACGGAGGAAGCAATCGCAGGCAAATTAACTTGAGATGGGAAACAGGACCTGGTATGTTAACATGCTATCTAAGGGACGCTGGACCCGGTTTCCAGCAGGTGACGCTTCCCACTAGTAGATGGAGAAGACTTATTTTTTTTCTCTTGGGACGCTGAGCCCGATTCTCAACATAAAATCCTTCAGCATATTGTCATTAGTGGCGCCCTGTGGATAGTTGGTGGATGGCAGGGATTAGGGGACGGAGGGAGACTCCACTGGTGCCCCCCAGTGCCTCATTCCAATACCCGACCCTGCTGCAGGAGAGGCATGGAAGAGTAAAGTTCGATATGGGACGCTGGAACCGGTTTCCAGCACAAGGGTGTCACTTTCAATCTAAGATTAAAAAAAAAAAAAAAAAAAAAAAAAAACATGAGGGGTGCTAGATGGTTTCAGAGAACGTGGGGTCAGGGAAGGACCTCGAAATGGTTGGTAAATGTTGATTCTGAGGGCAATTTTGAGTTTTGCGATTGGTTGAAGATAGATCAGGATGTAGTACCACAACACTCGGTACCTTAGCCACAGGTAGGCAGGCAGTTGGCTGGGAGAGGGCAGAGGCCAGGGCTTTGTGGAGGGAGTGTCAGACTTGGAACAGGAGCTCAGGTCTCCAAAATAAGGTCACTTTAGACTGTGTTAGGGTCTCGTTAGACACTCGTAAAAGAATCCTAAAATTTTTAGGACATTCCTAAAGTTTTTTTATGATTTCGTGCGTCGTGGTTACACGCATTCCTAAAAGACCATCGTTTAGGACCAGTCCTAAAAGGAAGTCGTAATTAAAAAGAAAAAAAATAAAAGAAAAAAAGTCATGCTTCAGGGTTTCAGCCAATAGGGTGCACCAGGAGTCCAAGACAACGGTGTCATGTGCACGTCGCCACGACGCCGTCAAACGCGGGAATCCTAAAAATTTCAGTAGGTCGGGGGATACTGAAAAATTTAGGACGAATTTGCGTGGGGAATCCTAAATTCTTTAGGATTTGTCCTAACACCGTTTTCACATTTTCGATATCGAAATCAGATTTAGGATCGCGTGCAACGACGATGCAATCCTAAAAACATGCATTTTTAGAACTGTCTAACGAGACCCTTAGTGGTAGTGGATTAGCGAATTACGACGGAACAGCAGAGGGCTCGATTTGACAATGGTAAGGTAGACATACCTGAAACTAGATGAAGGTCATAAACTTTCACAAAAAAAAAAAAAAAAAAAAAAAAAAAAAAAAAGAGAAAAAGGAGGAAGAATTTCACAAAAAAAAAAAAAAAAAAAAAAAAGGTGTGAAACAGGGTCAGTGGCTCATGTTTTCAGTGACCCCCAGGTTGTTTGTGAGGATTCCCGGTCTCGATGTTTTGACATTGATAATGGAAATGCTCTACTTGGGGTCCGACCGGAATGTTTCCGCCAGAGCTACGACGCTTGGACCAAGCGTCTTCGAACCGGTAACGGAGGAGTGTCCGGTCGCGCGGCCTACCAACGTGATATGCCCGCGATAGTTTTGGTGCGCTGTCACTTTCTCTATGGAGTTAGGTCATAGCTAGGAAGTAGCTATGGAGGCTGCCCAACCAGACACCCGGAACTTTCGGAAGGACCTAGTTCGCAATCTTGATGGTTCAACTTAGAATCAACTCACAAAGTTACGAGAAGCTCTTGTATTGGCCACTCTCACCTTATTCCCTCCTTCTTCTACTAGACGACAAGTCAACGCCATGGGACAATGGAAGCAGAGAATGGAGTTAGGGAGGCTCGCTCTCCACCCTCGGCCCCGTGGGAAACAAGCGAGGACAACGATAGGTTGCGGGAACTGATCAGGATGTGCTATGATGAAGGGACTATGCCAACGGAGATTGATCCGGGCGAAATGAGGGTAGAAGGTCGTGAGGTGAGGTTTAGAGTGAGTGTAGCTCTGGACCAAGCGAAAATTAGTTGGCTGAAGGAACGGACGGTGACCTTCATCTTTCGCTCAGGCGCAAGATTCCTACCGAGGAACGTCAAAAAAAATATCGTACGGGCATATGAAGATAAAAAGACTGCTGATGGAGGCTTCGAGGCACAGTCGTTTCGGCGAGGAAGAGTAAAAATTGAATCCCCTAACGTGTTATCCTACGTAGCAAAGTCAACGGAAGTGGCGAGATGGTTGGTGGAGAAAGGGAGTGATGAGCTAACAGTTGGCGGCTCTCACTATGCGTTTGAGTTTAAGCCATGGCTTACAAAGGCACAACTCAAGCAGCAACGACTGACCGAGGACGAGGTGAAGTTCTGGGTCGTGGCTGTCCAAGTACCACTGGATGCCTACATCTACCTAGAAGCTCAAGTCAGCAGGGCAATCGCACGTGTGGTTAGATCTTACCCACCAAAACAAGACCGCATGAAGCCTTCATTGGTTAATATCAAGTTCGATATTGATCCGGCGGCCAGAGAGAACATGAAGGATAAGATATGGATTAACACATCGAAAGGTGACGAATTGGAGATCAAGCTGGCGTCATCCGCAACACCACGCTGTCGAAGATGTCGAGCCTTTTTTCATTAGGATGCGGAATGTCGGTGGAATAACAGACAACAGGGAGCAGCCCCGACGACTCCATGAGGTAGCCAGCGTCCAGCAGGAAATCGACCTCAAGGGGAGACGCGAAGCTATCAAGGCCCGCTAGGCCCAGAACCATCGGGAATTCCGAGCGTGAGCGAACCTGTCGGGACTCATTCGTCTCAGGCGCCAACAAAAAGTGGATTCATGCAACACATGAATCCTACTTTCTCACCTGGGCTGCATGCGAACCCGGGACTCGGGCACATGCAAGGAGGTCTTCCGTGGAATGTATCGACAATCGTGCCTTGGAATACATCGGGCTTGCTATATGGCCTACCACCAGGGATGTTTCAACCATCGGTCTTCGTCTCGTATGGACCGAACTACCAATCAATAGGAGGAGCTTACTTCGGGGAAGCAAGACCGGTGGTGAGTGTGATGGGAGGAAACGCAGGCCCCACCCAAGGGAACCAAGGAGGGGACGTAGCATCGAATGTACAACCGACGACATCAAGGCCACCGACAGCTCGTGCTCTCCGATTGGACGCAGAACCAAGCTCCTCTCGCATTCGGAGCAGCACTCCAGGAAAGCAGAGACGGATTGATTCGGATGGCAGTTATATGTCAGAAGGGGGAAACCTCGAAGAAGAACCATCGGCTACTTCGTCGCAAGGCTCAGAGGGAAATTGCAGAATTGTGGGGACACCAGGCATGAAGACTTCAAGACGCAGGAAACCAGTGGCGCTGGCAAAAGGTCAATTGCAAGACATTGAGTACAAGATCCTTCCCTTTTTCTGCGTAGCAATCCGAAACTCATTTTGGATTGTTTCCTTCCTAAGCCAGGATAATTATCCGACAATGGTAAGTCTCCCAGCCCCTGATACCCCCATGCCCTCGGCGGTAGCTACTCGGATCCGGCTGCAATTCGTGACAAATTTGCGTTTCGTTTAATCCCTGATGTGCTAATGGTTCGTATTTTCGTCGACAACCCCGAGGCCGCGGGCAACTGAATCAAATATTTTATTCCGCTTTTAGATGTTAGGTTTCGAGCAGGGCAATTGGAAGCATTGGAGAGTGAGGGTCTCCGTCTCCTCCCGCTAGCATGGTTCGCAGAGAAGCGGAGACAAGAACTGAGCAGGATTTGAATCCCTCCGCTGAGGTCAGCGGAATGCTTACTGGAACCGGAAAGTCGGTTACCCAGTAGCAAAAAACTAAATTCACAGTTCCACCAGACCTTCCTCACGACCGCATGGTCACCTGAGGAGAATGGCCGAATCGACATCCCGAATCTAACAGGATGGCGGTTCGACAATTGGATGAGTAGGTTGAAGGCTATGAGTTGGAACGTGAGAGGTATAGGGGATACTGCCGGTAACTTTAAGAAAGAAAGATTAAAATCTTGGATTCATTCGGAAGGAATACAAATAGCTTGTTTACAAGAAACTAAATTAAATGAGGGAAAACTCAGTAACCTGGGCAAATGATGGGACGGTCCACAGATCTGGTCGCCCGCCAGAGGATCCAAAGGAGGAGTCGGGATCCTGATCCATAGATCACTCGAAGCAGAAATAGTGGACTACTATGCTGATTTATGGGGCCGATGGGCCTGGATTAAGCTTCTAATACAGGATCAGTACTGGTTAGTGGCCACTTTGTATGTTCCCACGGATCCCACGCTCAGACGAATTTTCTTGGAAGACTTGCTGTTTATTATTCCAGAATGCGAAAAAGTATTGCTGGCAGGGGATTGGAACGTGACCCTAGATATCTCAACGACCTCTCACCGATCAGACTGTCCTAGAGACAAATTAGCTCTAACCAACCTGATGAACTCATTCGATTTGATCGACCCCTATCGTAGGGTACATCCAGACTGCGAAGGCTTTACAGGGTTCTCGAACCCTAGGGACTCGGTGGGAGTTATTAGAAGATGATTAAACTTCTTTCTCACCTCAGAAACATTGTGGGACGCGATTATAAATATATCCGACAAACTCCATCCTTTATCCGACCATAAACCGGTTATCTTGAAGTTAACCCTGTCCTCCATGAATAGAGGTCGGGGCTACTTCAGGCTGAACACAAACAACCTGAAAGATGAAGGATTGGTCCAATGGATGAATGAGTTCTGAGGCAGCTGGAAAGCAGCTAGAAGCTCCTACAACACAACAGCTGAGCGGTGGGAGGTTGGCTCCCGTATGTTCTCAAATCTGCTGGCAGTGTTCTTGCGAATGCTGGCGGCAAACAGGAACTACCGGGAATTAACACTTCAGAAGAGAATCAAGTACGCGGAATTAAGAATGGACTCACACCCTGTTTCAAACTTGGTATGGGGAAAAGAAAGAGTCAAACTGATGATGGAGTGGGATGATATGCAGAAACAGAAATCATAAATATGGGCAGAAAGGCTACAGATCAAAGGGATTACAGTATATGATAGAATGACAAAGGAATTCTTTCAGCGCTTACTGCCAAAAAGATCCACAGTCCCCCTGCGAGAGTTGACTCATCCTTTTGACCCGCTGTCGGCGCGAATACCCTTACAAGGGTATCCGCCCTGGTTTTTGCAAATGGCAGAAAATAGCTTTGGTTTAAAAATTAAATATACCGCGCGAGTCGCGGCAGGGTTCGTTGTCTATGCGGTTGATGGTTGACTAGAGTAAAGAGTGTGTGGGCGCGCCTGATTTTTTTTATTGTTGATGATTGGAGAGTCGGCGTGATCGCTGACCAGATTTTTATCTTGTGATTAAAGCAGGGATTAAAAAGATTATGTCTCGTTGACTGATGGGCTTACCTGTGACCTCTGCGTACGTGCGAAGGACGACATCGACAACAATGTGACTTCTGAAAGAGGTTCGATAGGTCGGCGCGTCGCACTGTGTCCGCTTATCTAGATATTGGTCAGATCTAAACCCAGACTTGGGCCTAGCGCTATTGGTTACAGCGTCGGACTTTCATCAAAGAGATTCAGGGATCGAGATCGAGCGGCGACGGCGCGGGGGTATCAGAGCAGTGTGAAGGGGGCCGAGGGGTTGAGGGCCCGACGGGGCTATCCCCCTTTGGTTTTGTCGTCAGCGACGTCGAAACGGTGCTAGCGTTTTTCCTTTTCCTCGTCTGACGTCCTTTGATGATTAAGATTTGTCTAGATAATTTTTTTAATTTTATTATTGTCATCGTCCGCCAACCACGAATTGACCGCGGTGCGACGAGCACCGTGGACTCCAAAATCCTTATTTGAATGGTTGCTACTACCGTAAAGACCCGCGTCAGGCCATTTCACTTGGGCCCGCGCTTGGGCGCCCACAGGACCCACGCCCCGGCTCCGCGGCTTGTTATGGGGGGCCCGAGTGGGGTTACCTGCCGCAAGGCCAAAGGGATGGCGGGCCTTGCTTGGAGGAGAGGGGGTAAGGATGGGCAGGGCAGGCCAGACACTGAGCACAACGGAGGGCGGGGAGTGTAGCGGCACAGCAGAAGTGCAAGGAGTGTAAGGCACCGGGCTAGGGGCACTAGGGCTGCGGCCTCCACAGTACCGTGCCAATCGCATGTCGGACTAGGGCTCAGGAGCAAAACGACTATTGGGCTCACTATTTGCTGGTCCCCTCCGGAGTTCCCTTCAGGATGGTCGGAACTGCTGGACAGCTTGCCGAGTCGCTGGCAGTAGAGACCGGTCACTACCGGGTGCTACGATAGCTCCGGGGTTTGGAAGAAGGACGAGCGAAGCCGGTAGCATTAGGCTGACAGTTGGCCACGAGCGCTCGCACCATGAGGTACAACAGCGGGGGTGAATGTGGGCGCAAGCCGAGGCCAGGTACATGCAGAAACGGAGGGGCTGGCCCGACAGCAGGAAAGCGGAGCGTTAGTCAGCGCAGGGAGTAGAGGCAGGGCGGATGTGCGTAGCGAAAGATAGGACTGTGCCCAAATGCAGACGGGGAGCGGCTGGGTAGCGCTACGTAGCAGCGGGCGGTGAGTTTGGCCCGGTAGTAGCAAGCGGAGCAATAGCGCAGCGAGGAGTATGGTGGCAGTAGGCAGCAGCGGGGGGGGGATGGGAGCGAACCTGGACGCAGGTTGGGCTAGGTGCACGCAAAGGAGCAGCGTTGGTGTGGGACGCAGGCGCTGGCAGAGTGACGAACAGCGGCGGGGTAGTGCGAGGGGGGGGTTAGTAAAATTGATGAATCCGGGCGCGTTTCCGCGCCGGATTCACTTGAAGAGGAAGCTATGGGGGGGGGGGGAAAGGCCGACCGAAGTCGGAGAGGGCATGGCTCTCTCGAATCTGAACGAAAATGAGAGAGGAAAGGGGCGATCCGGGGATTTTGGCCCCGGGCGACTTGCATGGTGAGGTTAGATTTAGTGGTGGGTGAGTGAGTTGGGAGGTTAGTGAAGAACGCGGAGCGTTGAGCTATGGCCGACGTGAAAGAGAACAAGAGGAGGGAATATGGATCTCGTTCGTTTCTTGACGAAAACGAACGAACGAAGGCTCGAATAAGGGGTTTTCGGGGCGGGCGACCCCGAATATGCAGTCAGTTTAGTAGAGTTGGAGTTAGTAGAGAAGGTTAGCTCGCCGAGCTACGGAAGAGAAGGAGATAAAACGATTGAGTTGCCTCGTTTTGAATAGATACAGGCGGGGGAATAGGCTAGTTCGAGGTTTCGAGGTGATGAGAGCATGATAGTAGTGTTAGATTGACCCTTGGATTAGTAGGTTTGGTGGTATGGCAATCTGGAGCTGCGCCCGGGAGGACTGAGTTTTCGGACTGTTAACGTATCTGGCCGCAGTTCAGGGGAAGATTCATTCTCCTAGCACAGCAAGGGGGCGGCGTGCATGACTAAACAAGTGATCTATAGCGAGCGGGAAGAAGAGAGCGAGAGGGAGGGAACGGTGTTGAGATACTTACCTGCACAGATTGGATGGCGGTGTATATTCCCACGTTTCAGCTGCGGATTCGTTCCGGTTCTGTCGATCCTATTAATGACGATCCGCAAACCTGGCCGTGCTGTTGGCCATAGATACCAGGGAAGGAGGGGGGGTCCGGGGTTCCTTTGTATCTGCGCTTTTTGTTGCAGTGCGTTTAGAAGATTGATTGATGTCGTTTTGGCATCGACAGGCTTCTACTGTGGTGCTAGGGAAGTGATTGTGGTGAAGTGGGAGGCCTTTATCTGAACGGTGATTGAGTGGGCTCGACCTAGGGGCGGGTTCGCACTAAATATATAGGG